GGACCAGACTTCAACCCCGTGTTCTAAGATTTGAATGCAACATACTGGCATGAATCAGGGAACCAATAGAGAGGTCTGAGGGACTGGCCCCAATATCAACTATGTGGACAGTCTCCCCTCCCCACAGAAGAATTCACTTCAGAGCACAGCACTGAAGCTACAGCTCTGGAAGAGGGACATGTCTGATGAGAGCACACAGGAGCAAATGAAGGGAGAGGAAGAGAGAGTGGAACACATCCTGGCCCACCAAGCCCTGAGGACAATATTCCCGCTCAGAGCAGCCAAAGCACAGAAGACCATAGGACCAGTCCCACTATGAGACATGACATCCCTCACTGACTCATGGCACTATGAGGGACAACACTGGAGACACAGTATGGGAATTGTGTCCAATCTGACCCCACCACACTGAGGCAAAACATGAAGGGTGTGCAATAGAACAGCAAGGGGAACAGAGCAACAAATTCCCCAGGGAATACCAAAAATAGACTTTGGGACCGGGGTGTGGCAGCCCACCAGACTCCTCTGGAAAACACTTCTGAAGGTCAACAAACAGATCTTGAACTCTTTACAGGCTTTTCTTTTTTATGGTGTTAGTTTTTATTGTTGTTGTTTTCTTTTGTTTCTTTGTTTTGCTCTGTCTTGTTTTTTGTGCATAGTATTATCTCTGCAGGTCTATCTAGATTTCTTTCTTGTAATTATGGTTCTCACAGTTTTTCTTTTAGCTCTACTGCTGGTATCACTAACTTTCTTTGGAGCCATGGTTAGGATATTTTATGCAAATCAAGTGCAAAAAACCCCACAGTGATGAATATTTTAATACAAGTACTATTTGTTGTCTGATCGAGAGCAGCACTTCGACTGAAGAGTCGCCCCTTTGTGCCTTAAGGTGAGGGACTCCGTGTGTGACTCACTAAGCCCATACAGGTTTGTTTGGTGTGTTTTTTTCCGATCATTTTATTGGGGGCTCGTACAACTCTTATCACAATCCATACATCCATCCATTGTGTCAAGCACATTTGTACATTTGTTGCCATCATCATTCTCAAAACATTTGTTTTCTACTTGAACCCTTGGTATCAGCTCCTCATTTTTCCCTTCCTTCCCCGCTCTCCCCTCCCTCATCAACCTTTAATAATTTATAAATTATTATTATTTTGTCATGTCTTACACTGTCCGATGTCTCCCTGCACCCACTTCTCTGTTGTCTGTCCCCAGGGAGGAGGTTGTATATAGATCCTTGTGATCAGTTCTCCCTTGCTACCCCACCTTCCCCTTACCCTCCTGGTATCACTACTCTCATTATTGGTCCTGAGGGGCAGGTTTTTTTCAAGTCAGATGTTCAGTTCAATTGTTGAGCAAAGTCAGGAACACGGAGCAGATTTTTTTCACACTTTGCTGTTGGAGTAGTGGAAAGTTTGAGCTGGAACCATTCAACCACGTGAGGCATCACTATACTTTCAATTTCTTCGCCAGCACCACGATTCTTCTTCGGTCTTCCTTATTCAGTGTCCAACATTCACTTGTACATGAAGCAATTGAAAATGCCATGGCTTGAGTCAGGCCCGCTTTAGTCCTCAAAGCAACATTCTTGCTTTTCGGCACTTTAACGAGAAGACCCTATGTCCAGAAAGCCAATGTAATGAACGCAACATTTGATCTCCTGACTGACTCTTCCCTGAGCGTTGGTTGCGGATCCAAGCAAGACAAAATCCTTGACAACTTCAACCTTTTTCCAGTTTATCGTGCTGTTACAATAAGGACATGATTTATTGCGAAGTACATCCTTAATGCTAAGAATCCTTTTGAAAATAAATTATTCCTGAGTGTAGTAGCTCAAAGGCCTCTGGTGGCATAATGGTTGTGTGTTGGACCTCCGAAAAGCCCGCCGTTTGAAACCACCAGCCACTCGCAAGAGAAAAACTAGGCTTCCTACCCATGAAAAGAGCTACAGTCTTGGAAACCCACATGGGCCGTTCTACTCTGTCCAACAGGGTTGATGGAAGTCAGCATTGACCCCATAGCAGGGCGATTAAAAACTCCTAAAAGCCCGTGTGGCATGGTGGCTTATGCACTGGGCTGCCATTTCCAGACCACCAGCAGTTCTGTGGGAGAAGGTGAGGCTTTCTACTCCCGTCGATTTTTTTCCCACTAATATTTTCATTTATTTTAACGAAGCTGTTACAGTGTCCATCTGAAACCCATATCCCAGCCCCCAAAGTACAAATAAAATAAAAAAAGAGCAGTGTTCTGCTGTATACACTTCTGCATGAATAGCTTTATTAATTGCTAATGAAATCTAGAACTTTTCTGGGATCTTTTGGGAAGATTTTAATTTTAATCTTAAGATGCTTTGTTTCTTCAGTGACGCCACCTTTGGACGTAGTCATTACTCTTTCCCTTTGTCACTGTGACTCCAACCAGATGGGCCGCAACACTGGCCCAGACTCTCAGATTGTCAAAGTTGCTTCAAGTCGAGAGATGGTCGTTTTCCCCACAGTTCAGTTCTCTGAAAAACTTTCTTCTCCCACTGAAAGCCATATTCCAGGAGTGAAGGTATCACATGCTGGCACTTCAGGGCTAATTGGAAATCACTGTGAACACTTGCAATGGTTGATCTTATTTATCTGACATAAGCCTAAACATGCACAGTCCTGGACAGGGGGCCCCTCGTGCACACGTGTAATTTTTAAGAAGAGGAGGGCATTTAGGAAGGGGACTGAGGCTGGATCACCACAAATCAGCACCATGAGAAAAAAACCGAATGAACAAGGCGCACTAGGATTCAAAATGCCAGAAGATCAAAAGAAAGGCCCCGGTTTTTAATTCCATGTTGAACACCACATTGCAAAATATATTTTTTAATACAAAAGGATTAAGGAAAGAGAAAAAATTTTAAGTTATCCAGACTGTGTGTTCCTGATAAACTTCACTCACATCTTCTCCCTCCATTCCCGGTGCTTTTGGAGTATGATTATCTGCAATTCTCTGACCTTCCAAGAGACACCTGAGTGAATTTACTGAACTCCCTGTCTTTGACAATAGGATTCTTTGAGTTTCTTGCGATGTGCTGTCAATGAAATGTGTCTAACCACTATCCTGTCCAAAACGGATGTATTCTTCTTCCTTCTTATCCCCCAAGCCTTCAGTTGAAGGTCGGAAGTGGTGATGAAGGCTTTACCCCAGGGGATCTCCATACTGCAATAATCTCGGCCAGACAGAGAATCTCCGTCTGGGGTTGACAGAACTGTCCATCTTCCCCACAGCACAACACCTCGCCCCTCCGGTAAAGATGTAGTCTCGGGAGCTCACCACAGTATGTCTGCTCCAGTCTCACTGAGTCAGAATGGATTGAAGAGCAGTGACTTTGGTTTGGTATGGAGCTTCTATATTGAGTATACCTATTTTGTTTTTGTCTAAGGAAGTGACTATGCAGTTGTAACCTGTCAAAAGTACTTTTTAATGGCTCTAAGGAATGTCCAGGAGGAGCCCTGGTGGTGTAGTGGTTCTCTAAGGTCGGTAGTTTGAAACCACCAGCCGTTCTCTGGGAGAAAGACGAAGCTTTCTGTTCCCATAAAGATTTACAAGTCTCAGAAACCCATAGGAGCAATTTCACCCTGTCCTATAGAGTCACTGTGAGTCACTATCTTAATGTTTCTACAAAACAAAAGCCTATATTCTTCCAATAGCAACTCATTTGCTTGTTTATTCTGCCCCATCTTAATAATTATTTTACCTGAAAAGTCATGGAGACTGTGGAGTCAAACAAACCGAGGTTTCCAATTCTACCATTCACTGGGTATATGCTTGCATAGTTATTAGCTTTGCTAAGCTCAGTTTAAGGAGCCCTGGTGGGGTAGTAGGTTACAAATTGAACGGTTAACCTCAAGGTGAGCAGGTCAAACCCACCAGCTCCTCTGAAACCCATAGGATTTACAGCCTCAGAAACCCAGAAGTGCAGTTCCACTCTGTCCTAGAGATTCACTGTGAGGCAGAATCTACTCACTCACCGTGAAAGCCAGTCTACTTATCTTTCCCCAGATGGGTGTTATCAGACAGACATACTACTGGTGCTATCCTTTGCTCTATGCTTGTTTGACAAATGGAAGGTCTATAGCAACTCCGAGTCAGGCAAGTCTATTGACACCATTTTTGCCGACAGCATGTCGTCTCCTGGTGTCTGTGTTAGTGTTTGGTAGTTCTCAACTTTTTCATACTACTATTGTACATTTAGCAGACTATAGCATAAACATACATCTCTTATCACAATCCATACATCAATTGTGTCAAGCACATTAATGCATTTGTTGCCATCATCATTCTCAAAATACTTGCTCTCCACTTAAGTCCTTGGTATCAGCTCCCATTTTCCCCCCTCCCTCCCTGTTCCCCCCTCCTTCATGAACCCTTGATAATTTATAAATTATTATTGTTTTGTTATGTCTTACACTGTCCGACATCTCCCTTCACCCACTTTTCTGTTGTCCGTCCCCCAGAGAGGAGGTTATACGTAGATCCTTGTAATCGGTTCCCCCTTTCCACCCCACCCTCCCTCCACCCTCCAGTATCACCACTCTCAGCCCTGGTCCTGAAGGGATCATCCGCCCTGGATTCCCTGTGTTTCCAGTTCCTATCTGTACCAGTGTACATCCTCTGGTCTAGCCAGACTTGTAAGGTAGAATTAGGATCATGATAGTGGGGGGGTGAGCATTTAAGAATTAGAGGAAAGTTGTATGCTTCATTGTTGCTACACTGCACACTGACTAAGGGGGTGTCCTGTTACCTACTGATGGGCTTTGAGTCTCCACTCTGGACTCCTCCTCCTTCACATTGATATGATTTTGGTACTTTGATGCTTGATAACTGATCCCTTTGTGGTCACACAGGCTGGTGTGCTTCTTCCATGTGGGCTTTGTTGCTTCTGAGCTAGATGGCCGCTAGTTTATCTTCAAGCCTTTACTTTTATATGCACTCGGAAACAAAACAAAACATTGTGTCACTCACTTTTTACAATATTCACTTTATTACAGTGGCCGGGCACCAAACCTGCAGTAGCTCTGAGGTATGCCTATTTCTACTCCACAGAGCTGGAAGCAGGATTAAATGAATCACTGTCTGTGGAATATCTAACACATGTAGAGTACAATAAAGATATTGTCTGTGCTATTGTTATTTCTTTATCTTATTCTGCTGGTTTAAGACCCTCTGCAATTAAATTGAGTTCATAACACCAGGTTTCATAGCGATAAGCCATGCGGATTTGGGCTACATTTGTCTTCCGGATGTCATTTCCAATAGGGCCTTCCTCAAGGTAATTGTCACCCAGAAACTTGACTTTCTCCTAAAAGAAGAAAAGGAAGCAGAATGATTTCTATCTCATCTCACGTTAATATAGACAACAATTGCATCCTGAATAAAGACCTCTTCATTGCAGTAGCCTTGCCCATAGATAAAAACCAACCATTGAAGGCATGCACCCGGTGCCTCAATGTGCATTGATTGCTGAGAAATCAAATGTATTTTATTTCTCTTGGCCCAAAGGCACAGCTAGAGATATAGATAGAATGATTCTTTCTAGTCCCTGGCCACAGTAAGTGGATGTGCTTTGTGGGTCAAATTTTCCACATGTGTTTCCCCAGCTAAATTTTTCAGCTCTATCCTCAGAAGGAGGAAGCACTGAGGACACAGCAGCCCGACGCTTAACACACTGCACCACCAGAGCACCTTAGGAGAGTGACCAGTCAGGGACAAGTCTACCTCATGAGAAATTCCACACTGCAGGACACTGTTTCTTGCCACTTCACACATATCACAGGTGCTCAGCTTGAAGACTTGCGCAGCAATAGCATATTCTTCCATCAAGGGTTCCTGAAGTTATTGATATACATTTATCAAAAGAAGAAGTATATTAACAAAAGAAACAACATGCATCCTGCACAAAAATGAAGTGCCTTAATTTGACTTCAAAATTTTTTAAAAGGAGAGAGAGAGAGAGAGAGAAGCTGATAGCAAAGGGCTCAAGAAGAAAGATCATGTTTAGAAATACTTGATGCCAACTATTATATATGTCCTTTTGATATAATGGATGTATGGATTTTTATAATATATGTAAGAGCTACCGATAAAATTGTCTATTAAATTATGAAAATTTCTGGCTAGAACGCCACAGTCCAGCAAAATACATTTGCATTGCTAAAGCAAAACAAGCCCACTGCCCTCTGGTCCAGTCTGACTCCGTGAAAGTATGAAGAAGGAGGAGAACTGCTCCCCAGGGTTTCTGAGGCTATCCATCTTTACAGAAGCAGGTAACTGGTCTTTCTCTCCAGAATGGCTGGTGGTCCATTAGCCGCTCAACACTTAACCCACGGCGCACCAGAACTCGTCGAGAGTCCCTCTGCATACCTTGGTGAAGTGGAACTGCATCGGGTCATCGGTCGACAGAGAGATCATCAGTCCTTTCTGGAGGAAATCTAAGAATGGATTTTTGGCATACTCTAGAAATAGGCTGTTGTTGCTTAATGGCGACATGGCGATGGGGATTTGGGCTAAGAAGTACAAGTACTGTAACACAGGACTCTGAAAAGAAAATTGGGGGAAAAGGTATTTAAGGATATTGCAAAGGAATCCAAACTAGAGACAATTAGATCCCGTATTCTATTTTAAACTTCTTAGCTTTCCACAAAAGTATAACCTGCTCTTAAAACCCCCCAGTGAATATTAATTGTAGGTTTGTTTTTTATTTAATGTAAACACTATTTGGGGGGAAATCTGTTTGGGTCCCCCAATTTTAAGAAGCATTGAGTTAAACCAAGGGACTTGGTTGAACTTTTCATTGCCTTGGCAAGGTAGTCTGTCTCAGGCAAAAGACTACACCCTGAAACATTATTTTCCTCTACCCAAGAGGCAGTTCCAAACATGCCACAGCAAGAAATCCAGTGAGAACTAGCACAGAGCAGACCACGCCACTTTTGAGTGATCCCACAGCAGAGTTCTAAATGGAAGACAGAAGAGCTGTCTTCATCAAGTAGGTAGGTGATCTTTAGCTGGTCCTTTTATCTCTCTGGACCGCTGTGAAGCAAACTGCCCAGAGTCACCTCAAAAATTCTTCATGTTCCACTTTTCTTTGCTTCTAGTGTTGATAATGACTTGTGACTGTACAGTAAGAACAAAAAGGAGTCTTGTAGCTCCAGTATAAAAGTTAGTATTAAGAAGAGCGTCTCTGCATTGGGCCTCCAATCAAGTACTCCCTCAATGCAAGAATATTTTTTCCTATTAAATTGGCATTCTATGATGCTCACCTTCCTGACACAACCACTGAAGACAAAGCTGGTGAATAAGCAAATGTGGTGAAGAAAGCTGATGGTGCCCAGCTATCAAAAGATACAGCGTCTGAGGTCTTAAAGGCTTGAAGGTAAACAAGCGGCCATCTAGCTGAGAAGCAAAAAAGCCCACATGGAAGAAGCACACCAGCCTGTGCGATCATGAGGTGTCGAAGGGAACAGGTATCAGGCATCATCAGAACAAAAAATCTTACCACAGCGAATGAGGGGGTGAGTGCTGAGTGGAGACCCAAAGCCCATTTGTAGGCCACTGGAGATCCCCTTGCAGAGGGGTCTCAGGGAGGAGATGAGCCACACAGGGTGCAATGTAGCAACAATGAAAAATACAATTTTCCTCTAGTTCCTAATTGTTTCCTTGCCTCCCCCACCCCCCTATCATGATCCGAATTCTACCTTGCAAGTCTGGCTAGACCAGAGGATGTACACTGGTACAGATAGGAACTGGAAACACAGGGAATCCAGGGCGGATGATCCCTTCAGGACCAGTGGTGTGAGTGGCGATACTGGGAGGGTGGAGGGAGGGTGGGTTGGAAAGGGGGAACTGATTACAAGGATCTACGTGTGACCTCCTCCCTGGGGGATGGACAACAGAAAAGTGGGTGAAGGGAGATGTCGGACAGGGCATGATATATCGAAATAATAATTTATAAATTATCAAGGGTTTGTGAGGAAGTGGGGAGAGGGGAGGGAGGGGGAAAAATGAGGAGCTGATGCTGGGGGCTTAGGTGGAGAGCAAATGTTTTGAGAATGGTGAGGGCAATGAATGTACAAATGCGCTTGACACAATTGATGTATGTACGGATTGTGATAAGAGTAGTATGAGCCCCTAATAAAACGATTAAAAATAAAAAGAAAGAGCGTCTCTGACTCACCTTCTTTAAATTCAGGCCATGAGAGATATTGTCTGCTGTCATGAATGCCGTCATGAGGTGGGTGATGGCTCCGGCTTCCCCACAGTGAGGTCGGAACAGAAACGTGTTCATGCCTCTTTCCCTGGGGAATGAAACCACTGTAGGAATCGCAGGGGACAGAGTGGCCCCTGGCACAGATCGACTTACAAGAAAATTTGGTGAAAAGGCATGGGTGGGATAACCTAAAGATCCAGCAACACTGGCAATCCCAAATCAGAATCTGAATTCATGCAATTATTCCTCAACAAAGACTTTTTTTAAAAGCCACAGTAGCAAGGTGGGGGTCAGCAAGGAAGGGAAGAGTTGCTATCTTCAGTCTCCTTGGAAAGACTGCCCTCTCACTACTTTTCTTAGTCACACCTTACGGGGGAAATGTCTGCAGAAACCCCAGTAGAGTATTCCTTTATTTATTCCTTACCCAGAGATTATCAAGAAGGGTAACATTCAGAGTTTTATAATACATTGTATAGTGATTTAGCATAATCCCCAAACTCTCAAAGAAAAGGAACTGGGAAGGTTTTCTGAAAACTTCAAAAGGTTGATTCCTGTACCAGAATAGATAGAGAAGTTAAAAGAAAAATCAAAGGAAAGACGTATCTGATTGGGGTCAATTGGAAGCGTCCCCCCAACATAACATAGACCCTGGACCAGACCGAGTGCCAAAGAATATGAAAAGAGTTGTGACAACTAGATTTCCCTTCTTATTCCAATCCTCCCCCACTTACTTCCTCAGGCTGTTGAGCACTGTGATGTTTGCATACATGTAATAGGCATAGTATGTGTAGGACGGATTTTTTTCCATTGTCCACTCCTGGGGCTTGGGGCTCTTGGAGGAAAACATGTAGCCACTGTGCTTGGATTCGTCATCCACACTGTCAAAGCCAGTGATCTGCCAGGAAAAGGGAGCCAGGCATTGGGTTCCGTTCAATGACAGGGCTCCCGTCCTCCAGGGCCCTTCAACTCCAAAGGCAGGGGAATGTCAGAGAGAAGCCCCAGGGTTAAGGCCTGGCCAATAGAGGGGCTGGGCCATGAGCACAGTGAGAGACCTAAGGGGCCTTCACAAACGCTTACATGTCTGAGGAAGATGCTGAGGTCTGGGTGAGCCTGGGGGTTGACAGTGGCCTCAAACACCGGCATGAAAACATTCTCCAGCATCTTTCCAAAGTGTGGAAGGAAATTCTTGGCTCGGAACACATCACTAGAGGCAAGAATCAAGACAGTGTTGCCGTCGCTGCGGAGAGCTGCTCTACCCGGTGGCAGGGCCGTGTGCGCAGAGTGGACTCCTCCAGGAAGTTTTCAGGGTGAGGACCTTCCAGAAGCAGTCCCCCACGCCTCTCTTTAGAAGCATCTCTAGGCGAACCCGACCCACCAGCCTTTCAGTGAAGTGCTCAATACTGGGTGCCACTCATCTGTGCCCCTCCCCCAGGGACTTATGAAGAAAACATAGGAGGAAAGAAAGATTTGGTGGATGGATAGCCTCAGTATGAGGAAGTCAGAGGACCAAATGTCATGGACAAGAAAAGCGTGATTTTAAACATCTTCTTGGCTACCCATAAAGAAGAATCCCGGTGGGCTTGGGTATAGAACATATGGACCCCTGGGAGTGTAGTGTTTACGTGTTGGCCTGTGATCCGAATGGTCAGCAGTTCAAAACCATGAAAGGCTCCACGGGAGATAGACTGGACTTTCTATTCCATAAGCAGGCACGGTCTCAGAAACCCACAGGGAGGTTACTAGGATTCAGCACTGATTCACTGGCAGTGAGTTTGGGGCTGTCTTATATGCACCATGACCCCTGGCGGGGCCAGGGGTTAGGCACTAAGCTGCAAATCACAAGGTCAGCTATTGGAAGCCACCAGCCACTCCCCAGGAGAAGACAAGGCTTTCTACTCCAGCCAAGAGTCTCAGAAACACACAGGAACAGTTCTAACCTGCTCTACAGGGTCGCCATGAGTCAAAATCAGATCCATTGTAATGAAGTTGGGTTTTGTAATATTTTGTAATATTTTTCCTAAGGCTAAAAATATTAGCTAATTTAATCTTCAAAATACCTCAACGCAGTAGGTCCTATTATTAACCTACATTAGAGATAATGAAACTAAGGCACAGGGAGGTGAAGCTGCACAGTTAAGAAGTGGTGGAGTCAGGATTTAAGCACAGCCAGTCTGGGCTCAGACCCCTAACTAGCCACCACATTCTATTGTCTCTCTGGCGGAATGGCATTAGACAGGAAGCACTACTCCAGTTGAAAAGTTACCCATTGGCTCAAGAGATAGGATCGGACCTGTTATGGCCTCGGGGCACAAAGAACAGGGAGGCAGGTGGCCAGAGAATAGCTAAACAATTAAGATGCCATCCCTGAGGGTAATGACTTAGTCGGCAATGGTATGAAAGAGAACAGAGATTCTCGGCAGAACCATTGGCAGAAAGGCAGGAGTGCGGGAAAGCGTGAGCACTTGTGGGTGAGACAATGAGGACGGCAGTACAGATTCCGACAGACAAATAATCAGGGAAAGAAAGAACTGGACACAGCGAAGACAAGGCAGAGACAGAAAGTGCATGTCGTTCTTATTCTAGCTCAGTTGTAATCCTGCTCACTTAGCTCCTTGTGATTTTCCTTAAGTCCTCTGTGTCTGTGTGGACCTTCTGATTCAAACCCCGGACTGAAATGATCTTCCCCAAACTCCTGTTTGTGGACAACAAACTAACAACAGTTATTTCTGTCTGGGTGTGTTGCTCATTCTTCGTTCATGCAGGCAAGATGAGGCCAGTTAGATGGGGGCAGGCTTTAGGGTTTCCCATGAACAGGTACATACTAGATCCTGGGGACCTGGATCATCCACGTCATGTTGGAGCAGCAGATGCGGTTGCGGACAAACCAGGAGGACAGCTTGCTCCACTCGTCAGGACTGCGACCATAGATTGACAGGCGGGGCTCAGCATGCTGGTATTTGGCTTCCACCAGGTCAGAGCCTACTTCCTACCAAATCAAGAGAGGAGTCCCAAACCAGGATTTTCCACAAGGCCCTCAGGGACCGAAACCTACAGGGTCTAGGGAGAGGAGCTGGATACCAAAGACCAAGATGTGACAAGAAATAGGAGGCAAGAATATCAAAAGTCGAGGTACAGGGGAAGTGAGAGTTGAGGGGAGTCCAAGAACTCAGGCTCAAACAATATAAAGGAGATCAAAGTCTGAAAAGGTTAGAATAAGAATGATGAGATAACTAGGGCACCTGTGAAGGCTATCCAGTTTTTTCCTTTTCTCCCCACCTCCCCCAAAACAATCTCCCCAAACTCTATATGTCCTTCCTGCTTCCTGATGTGCAGGCATCCCAAGAGGAGCATGGAACTCTTGCTGGGCCTCCAATTTCCAAAGCCTGAAAGAGTCAGGCTTTCATTAATCCACACCCTTGGCTTCTGTACCCTAGGAAGAGAGGTCTTTTTAAATGATTACAGCGGAAGCTTTAGAAGAAAGTCTTATGCTAATTGATGTAGTGCTTGGCTTTAGGGATAACACCCCGCTTTCCTCCTCTCCCTTCTCCTTTTCCACCTTCTCTTCTCCCCCGTCTACCCTCCCCCATCACCAAGAATGATGTGATACCACCTCCATATAGATCTGATTGGTTCTTCCTCACCTTGATAATAGTAGCAAAATATTCCCCATTGATGTTATTGTCTGTCTTCAGGTAGAGGTCCCGTAGCTCACTGGCCCCTACCGGATTGTATTTGTCATTGAATTTATCAAAACGCTGGAAAGTTTGGCGTCCCTGAATCAGAAAACGGGAACACAAATGGATAATAATCAGGGCTTTCTGGACACAGAAAGCAGGAGGCATTGCTGCAGGAATGGTAACTGGCTGCAGAGAAGGAGGGCTGAGCTCCAAGACAGGGAAAAAAATGATAAATTATCAAAGGTCCATGAGGGAGGGAGGGTCGGAGCGGGGGAAATGAGCTGAGATCAAGGGTTCAAGTAGAAAGAAAATGTTTTGAAAATGATCATGGCAACATATGTACAAATGTGCTTGACACAATGGATGCATGTATGGATTGTGAGCTGTATGAGCCCCCAATAAAATGATTTTTTAAAAAGACAGTCAGGACAGTTGACAATGAGTCGACCTCCATATGGTAGGGACTTCCCACAAGCATGGAAGCCAGCTTGGCTCAGAGAGCCCCAAGAAGGGGCTGGCTGGTAGGACATGTGGCGTTCAGAAACGCTTTTTTTTATTATTAAAAGATTGTAGCAGTGATGAAACATACAATTTTCCTCTGTTCTTTAATGCTCCCCCTGCCCCCACTATCATGATATGAATTCTACCTTGCAAGTCTGGCTAGACCAGAGGATGTACA